CAGGAGCAATATCAGCAGAAAAAGTGAGGCGAAATAGACAAGTTTCAGTCGCATTACTACTTGCCAAATTATGGAACGTCGATGTCCTTGAAGAACGAACCGTTCGACTCCGCCTTCTTACCCGCAGTGATTTGTGGCGGGAGTTCTTGTCTACCACCAAGGCTGTTGGAAAGAACGATGGATAACGCAAAAGGCGATGGAAAAAGAAAGATTCAGAGTTTGTCTTCAAGAGCATGTTCCAAGTGCGATAGTTTTTTGTCGGAAGTGATTTTGGATACCCTCACTGCCACAAATAAATCGAAGAGACGATGGTCATGCCAGATCGCTCGTTGAAGCACAACACGTAAAAGGTAGACATCCGAGTTTCCTACCTGTTTGCGTGCGTTCCACAACAGACGTCCACTGGGTCGTCTACCAACACGTTCTGACGACCCAGCGGCAAAGCTGTTTGGTCAGCGGCGGCCGCAAGGGGCACAACGCCAAGAAGTGTGGCGGAACGGTGACTTACATGTGTGACGAAGTCAGACAGATGGAATGCGAGGAAATTTATGATCAAAGATAAACTGATAACTTGAAGATGACCAACGAAGACCTTGAACGCCTGTTAGCCTCCTCTATCGATTGTCATATTGCTTGAACACCTCCAACATCGTATCCCACACAGTAAGCGGCCAAAAATGAGGACCGTTGCATAAACAGCTTGTTGCGTCCATGCGTCTGCATAGACGGCACATTCACGTAGCAGCGATTGAAAGGAATCACGTTTCATAGACAATCACTGTGAGGTAAAGCCTTGCTAAGGTCCAAAAACATATGGCAGGCCAACAGGGTCAAGTTCATATGGTAGATTCATTATTGATAGGCGGCTTCCCGCGTTTCTTGCTTTCATTCTTCCGCAGAATCTTCAAGAACTTCAAGATGATAGCACTAAGCACTGATTAAGCATCTTCTCAAATTCGCTTCACCTCTGTACCGTTTGTTTGACGAATATTTTCACTTCTTCAACTAAGGGGAAGAAATACAGCGTGTGACGTATTAGCAGCCATTATGGAGGTAATATGCGTATTCATGTTTTTTGTGATATTCTGTCCTCGTCGAGTAGGACATGCAATGAGCAGAATTTTCTGTTGGTTAATCCTCGCTTTATTGAGACACCCCGGAATACGTATGTGTCTCCTACATGTCGAAGGAAAGAAAATATGTTTAGAACAGTTGGAACATCAATCTTCCCTATTTTCGTGATGACGCAATCTCTGGCCATTTCTTTTCATGGAGTAAATAACGGCGTGCTGATCTTCATTTCTATTCTGTTACTGAACAGTGCTTTACTTCTTAATGGCCACGTCAATAGCAGCTGTATAACAGGCAGAGTGCGTTGTGTTCCGCTTCATTCCCATATAGTCTTACTCATTTATCGACCTCAGAAGGCACGAAGGTAACTAACTCGACCGGAAATCGAACTCAACAGCTCTTGGTTCTGAGATCAGCGATCTACAGAGTAAGCAATTCCGATCAACATGTCATTCATCTATCATAAATCATGTCATCAACATGTCATTAATGCTCATAAGTTCGCTTGACTCCAAAATCTTCATGCCTTTCCTTCTTTTGCAGTGATTACTTGACTTAAGCAGTGCATCGCATCTTTCATACGCTTTTAGCTGGTCGCGCCACTATAGTCTACACACAACTGGCAATTAAGTCGGTAAGTGCCTTAGCTTCGAATTCATCGGCATTGCGGTCTGGTGATTCAAGAAACTTAGGAGGTTGATTCTAGAAAATACCATATGGTCCGGCAATGAGGCTACGATATTGAGTACGCGACCATTTAGCTGAAACAAACGATACTACAATTGGTTCAGAATCTAGTAAACCATGGTCAAAGTTGTCCTTTTGCCACTCAGCTGTCGTTTTCACCTGACTGTTCAGTTGCTCGTTGGACTTGAGGGCATGTTGCCCTTTGCTTCAGGATATATTGTCTTTAATGGAGTATCCCTCTAGTAAAAAATGAAATCATAAGCCTCATTATCATAAATTTCATCCGCGTTTCAATCGCCATCGTCATTGTCTTCATAACCGTCATCTTCATCATTGTCACAGAAGCTTGTTGCTGTGAGCACCGTGCCTAGCGTTGGAAGAAATTTCTAAAGAAACTTTTCTGATGTTTAGACTGTTGAAATTATGACACATGACTTTTGGAATTAAAGCATATTTGCGATGGAATCATGGCTTAAAATCTTCCAAAGCTATACAGCGTGTGCGGTCGGAAGACAAATCTATCGTTGGATCACAGATCATCTTTAGACGCCTGCCACAAAAATCACACCTATGACAACTCCGTCGCGTAACATTGCGCTTATGAATTCAAGCATTATGACTGAAAAAGGCTTGAAATTCGAAACTCGGTTCCAAAGACAATCTCTCTTGCCCGATGTTTTCATTAGCGTCGGATGTAAATCGTGTGCAAATGCATTATTCGCCTCAATGTCTTCGTCACCATCGTCGTTCTACCTCTAGCCTCATTATTATTTTCTTCATAAGCATCATAAGCTGTTTCAGCGAAGTGTGCGAAATAACGAATGATTCCTCAAAGAGCAGATTTCATGGCTTATGCACTGTCCCGGACCTGGCCTGATGCACCTAATTTCTGCTTTCTAATGACGTCAACGAAAGTGGGGTCGATCTTATGGCTCTCCTGAAAGGTCAAGAATTGCAAGCTGGGTTCCGCTGTATCGCAAACGTCCACTCTCTTGTCCAAGGACATGCTGGGATGAGCCGATGGTCAAATTAATTGGCCAGTGGTGGAGGCAGCAAACGGATAATAGAAAATACTGGAGGTGCGTCGATTTGCGTTCATGACGCACCCATCGACGACGACAAGTCGCATAACGGCTTAGTCTTTGTTCCATCAATCGAACATTGTTTTTTTCAGATAGCGTTTGAACAGAACACGCCTTTGCGTGCGTTCTGTTTTTCTTAGTCTCGTGATCGCGTGAGAAGCTAGCTTTTAGAACGGGGCGATTTTACATGCAACAAAGAATTTCGAGGTTAATCTAGTAGATTTGGAAAACTTCGAATTAATAGCCTGTCTTCTATACCGTGCCATTTTGTCACTGGCTGAATCTGGTTTCTTCAGAGCTGTCTGTACTGTGCATGCGTAAACACGATGTTATTCCACGTCTCGGCTTAGAACCTAGACTTCCTTTCCAGGAAAGCGAAAACTTCGAAACCCGTTCTATCTTCTTCCTCCTCTTGACATTGATTCTCATTGTAAACGCCACTCATATTGCCATACAATTCTTGTGGTAGGCCATCGGTGATGGAGCAACGGACTCGAGGGGGGGCAGTCCTCAATTGTTTCGCTCAAGCATATGGTCACAGTGTCAAAATATCTTATGCTTTACCAAAACATATTTGCTTTAAGATCTGGAGATGTCAACTTTCAGGCTATAGCTGCCCGTCTAGCCAATCATTTCAAAGGCAGGAGGAGAGGTTATGATTGCAACTACTGAGAAAGTGAGAAAAACGGTGACACATCTCGTTGAGGCAGTCTTACTGACGACGAGGAATATGACCTCCAGTCCAGCAGTTGAGGTTGCCTAATATCAATCGAGGTGCCATCTCTAAAGGTTAGACATAATAAATATGGGCTACTTTGTTGTTTGCGTTCTATTAGCCTTCGATGACGAGGACAGAACAACAATGGTGAAATTTCTACACTCTGGATCGTATTTTTCCTTCGCGTGTGACTTCGCTCTTTGGCCGTTAACCGCTGTAAAAAGGCGGTTTCGTTGATGGATTTACTTATTTGCTATCGCCTTTAGAGTCGTTAATCGCCCTTATCACAACGTTTAGGCAATTTGAATTCTGTCTTATTTTCAGCCCTCCCCACCCTCTTTAATTACGCCTTAGTTGCAGTAGTATATTTCGTTTATGCCAAGTCTTCTGTAAACTAGGTCAAGCAAAGTTTAAAATTTGAAATTAATTATTTTTAAAGGTGTCTGTAATATCTATTAAAAAAGATGACGTTCTTTCAGAGCAAATTTCAAGGTAAGCGAAGCAGTGGCTTGAAGTATGAGCTCACGAATAGTTTCTTGAAATATGCATATTTTTTATTTATGTGTAACCTGAAATGAATTGATAGTGTATAAATCGTGTGCAAACCGATTATGGCCAGCAAAGACCGCGTATTTGTGGTAGTAAATCTCCTATTGAATAGTTCAAAAGTTTATGTAGTTACTCTACCTGGAGCCTCATTATGACCAAGTTTGTAGCGGCAATATTTACGACAAGCCGCAAAAAGGCACCTTTACTTTGAGATAAGATACAAGGAACAATTAAAACTCATAGATATGAAGTTTGATGCCATATACACTAAGATGTGGCAGAAATATCAAAGCTGAATTGATCTTATGTACCTCTCTCGTCTATCATCTTGCTCTGGGTTTATTTTGCCAAAATAAATTATTAATGGCCGTAAGAATATACAAGCTAATATAGGATTACCTATATAGCCACATAGCAGATGTACGGCAGAACAAATCCACGGTAAGAAGAATCGACGAGAAGCGATGCGCACGATCAACACAGCCTGATTATCCCTGCTGAATCATAGTTCTCCCTTCGCCTTCCTGCTGACATGAAGCAAGGGTAGGTCAGGAGAAACAGGGACACGGACGAACAGGCTTGATCGAACAGGTCCACCGATTACACAACGGTTGACTGTCGCTATAGCCGGAAGCCACGGTTTGTAGGCGCACTGGTTTTGATAATTTTCATGCGTCATTCATAACAATGATCAGTGGAATATTATCGGTTGTAATTCCATTGATTGTCATCGTAACCCATTACGTTGTCTGAATCATTCAAGCAGACATGACCTTTATTACACATATTGCAAAATAACCCGGGTGTTCAGGTTAACTTTAGGCGTTACTCGACGACGAAGGGTATTTTGTTAATATTACTTAAACCAAAACTACGCTATGGTCCAGAACAGGCGATTTTGGAATGTTCTACATAAATAAAAACAGCAAGCTTTTGCAAGTCAAATAATGGGTTCCTTTGCATACGTAAAGCAATGTTCTCCAAGAAAACCATGTCTCAGGTTGTCAGTCAGCAGATGCGTTTAAGTTAGAGGCTTACATAACCGGTGCTGTTTTTTTGCGCTGGTAATTTGAAGGGAAAGCATTACTAGCAAGTAATAAAATTTCCTATAGAGTCGTTCTGCCGACTCATGTCACCTTCTGAGCATGCATTCGTCAGGTGACGTTTTCAGAAATGCGACTGATATTTTAGTGAACGTAGTTCGACGAATAAACTGGCAACCAAAGAAGAAGGGGAAACAAGTTCTATCGGAAAGA